GTTAACAAGGAACTAAACAATATGCACTCAGAGACATTTTAACATTATTGGTTCTTTGATTATGAGTGTTTCAACTTTTTGCTGTTCCAGAGCAGCTTGATCCTAATACTTTTAATGATAAAGGAGGACTCTGGTTTTCAAATGATACCATTTAAAGACTAGCAAAGAACAAAAGCAACTTGTTTTAGAACTTCAAATGAAAATGTTTACATAAAACTGCTTTTTCTGTGCTATCAAGAAATACCATAACACTTAGCAATTAACGACATCTAAAAATACTTAAAAATGTCTTGGGCCCTGACTGGTGGGGCTCAGTTGTTTCGTCATTGTCCCCAAAAGCAAAAGTTCACCATTCCATTCCCAGTCAGGGCACACGCCTGGGCTGCACGTTTGCTCATGGATGAAAGAAAGACAACTAATAGATGTTTCTCTCCCCATCTTTCTCCCTCTCTTTCTCTCTCTCTAAAAATGAATAAATGAAATCTTTAAAAATATATATATATATTGGCTTTAAACTGGTATAACTTCCTAAAAACCTTATATCAGTGATAATCACTTCTCTGCAACCACCATCCACTTTTTTGACCCACTCTTACTTTATTATGTTCAGTTGGGTAAAGTACCACCTTTGTTAAATCAAACCCTTCATTTGTTCAACATTTGTTCCCTTGCAATTGAATGTGACTAAAGAGAAAGAATATAAAACACTGCTAACTGACCTCACCTTAAATTTAAGATCACTTCCCTTTTAAAAATTTTTTAAAGATTTTATATGCTTAATTTTAGAGAGAGAGGAAGAGGGGGAGGGAAAGGGGGAGAAGCATCAATGTGTGAGAGAAACAACTGGTTGCCTTTCCCATGCCCCTAAGTGGGGGACCTGACCTGAAACCCAGGTATGTGCCTGAACAAGAGTAGAACTGGCAACTTTTGAATTTGGGATTATGCCCAACACACTGAACTATAACAGTCAGGGCTAGGGTCGCTTTTCTCAAGCTTCTCCTTAATACTGTCTACCAATCATATTACATTTTTCTACTTGATTTATGAGTCGTGGGTGACTTTTTAAGTCTTCTCTTCAAATTTCTAATACTTCTTGCTTCCTCCTCATATTGCGCTATTGACAATGATTTCTCCTCCACTAAGAAAACAGAAGAGAATTTCCATGAACTATCTCTATGTCTGTTGACCTAACTATATTATGCAAATTTACTTTAGACTTTATTACCTTATTCTTAGAGAAGGCTGGCCCTCTACTTGTGTAGTATATTCTATCCTTCTCCCACCCATTCTATGATGTGGGTCTATAAATTCTATCTTCTCTTTCCTGTGCCACATATACTGTATTTCCCTCTACCCTGGATGCTTCATATCAGCACACACACATGCTACTATTTATCGCATTTCTAAAAAACTCACTTTGGCTCCACTTCCCCTTCTGGCTCATTCCCTCTAAAACCTTTCCTCTTCTGTTGTTCCTTTTAAGAGAAAACTTAAAGAGTTTTTACATATGGTTTCCAATTTCTCCCTATTTTTAAATCCATTCCAAACAGATTTTTATCACTAGAACTCCACTTAAACTGCTGTTACCAAGGTCCTCCATGAACTCCATGTAGCTAAATCCAATGGTTGATTCTCAGGCCTTATCATACTTGAATTCTCATTAACATTTGATAAACTTGATCACTGTCTCCTTAAAATACTTTATTTATTTGGCTACCAGGACAACAGATTTAGTGCTGTAGTGTTTTATGTTTGCTTTGTTTTCCTGCCTTTGGATATTCCATCTCACATTTTTTTTCCTTTCAATTTCCCTGACTTCTAAAGGTTGCAGTGCCTAGTTAGTACTCACATGAATTCTCTTTTCTATCCTTAATAATTACTTTGTTGTACTCATTTATTCTCAAGACTTTAACCACCATTGATATACTGGTATAATATGTAAGTATATATTTAATATTATAGTATAAAGTATACAAATATGTTACATAAAATATATGTATGTGCACAATATAAAATATAATGTACAAACACAAATATATGATGTAAAATTAATATATACATGATCAGTTTAGATTTCTTTTGTGACTTTCATTATTTACAACTACCCACAAGATACACACATTTGGCTAGCAAATAAACATCTTAAATTCAACATGTTCAAAAGTAGTCTGATAGTCTTCCACAACTTGCTTTTTTGGCCAGTCTTTTTCTTTTCAGGGAAAGGCTACTCCATTCTTCCAATTACACAAACCAAAATTCCTTAGAACTGTTTTTGGCTGTTACCTTTTATTTCACAGATAACATTCAATTTGTCAGAAATTTACATTGGTGCTATTTTCAAAATGTTTCCAAAATTCACCTGCTCCTTGCTACCCTCATTGCCACAACACAGGTCCAAGCCATTCATCATATTTCATCTGGTTTGTTTTTTTTTTACCATAGCTTCTGCTTCTGCCCTTGTCTCTCCTTAGTTTTTATATAATTAGTAGCAAGGAAATGTCCAAATACAACTCAGGTAATCTCAGTTTTCTGTTCATTCTCCTACTGTTTTTTTTTTTTCTTTCTTTCTTTTTTTAATTTTACTCAGGCTAAAAGCCAATATCCTCACAGAGATATACATGGTCCTACATGATCTGTGCTCTTCTTTACCTGTCTGACTTCAAGTCCATTCACTCTCTTCCTTCATCATTTTGTCTGGCCATTTTAGCTTCCTAATTGTTTCTCAAAGATTAAATAAATAAATAAACACAAAACAAAAACTGCTCTTGTCACAGGACCTTCCCATTTTCTGTTCCTCTGCTGGGAAAGCTTCTCCTCCCCCAGCCAGACACATATATAACAAATGGCTCACTCATCACTTCCTTTATGCAGATTTCTGTGAGTCCCTTGTAGACTACACTATCAAAAATTCCAACCCTTCTTCTACAATTCCTATGACTCTTCCCTGTTTTATTTTTCTCCTTAGCATTTAACTACCATACTATATATTTTACTCATTTTGTTTATTGTTTGTCTTTTCCAGTATAATTCAAGCTCCATGGTGCTAGTAATTTTTTGTCTTTTGCATCTTATTTTGTCTATGACAAATCTCCAGTGTTTATAATGTGGCCTAAGATGTTCAGTATCGTTTAATGAATAGATGAATGAATGAAGGAAGGAAGGAAGGAAGATTTTCTTGTGTAAAGAAAATATATTATTAAATTTCAATTTTTGGTAATTATTTCCAAATTGTATGGTGTCTGCTGAATTGAGAAAACAATAATTAATGGTGTATTTTCATCTTGGATTTTTCTGATCTGTTCTATCAAATCTGCCATGCACTAGTTAATTTCAAAGGCTCTGATATCAGGATGCAATAATTTCATCTTCTTATATATCTTAGATTTCCCAATTGAGAGAGGATATTAGTTGGTGGCTTTTTATAAAATACATTATGGATAAATGAGAGTAATTTAAATTTAACTATTTTGGTATGTTTAAAATTACAATCAGAAGGAATGTGTAATGATCACTTTCCTCTCTGGACCTTTGTACCTAATTTTCTCTTGACCAGTATACTTTTCCTCCTTTTTCAACTCTCCAAATGCTGTCCTTGAAGTCTCAGCTCAGAAGTCACTTTCTTTCTTTCCTTCTTTTTTTTAAAACTAAAGATGGGACTGCCTTTATTTTTTTTTAAGATTTTATTTATTTATTTTTAGAGAGGGGAGGGAGGGAGAAAGAGAGAGAGAGAGAAACATCAATGTGCGATTGCTGGGGGCCATGGCCTGCAACCCAGGTATGTGCCCTGACTGGGAATCGAACCTGCAATGCCTGGTTCACAGCCCACACTCAATCCACTGAGCTACGCCAGCCAGGGCTAGAAGTCATTTTCTTAATAAGGTTGTCTCTTTACCACTTCCGTCTCTGGAGAATAGGTTAAGTGCTATATTTATCTCCATCCTGACACCTCACATTGGTGAAAATATCTGTTTATTTTTCAGTGTCTTATAATAGACTTTAAACTTATCAAAGACAAGGCTTTTCTGCTATTTTGTTTTATACACACATTCAGTGACCAAGATATAACAAACATTTGTTAGGGGTCTGTTATGCTAGGTACTCCTGCCCAGCAAAGATGTGACTTGGTTAAATTGAGACTCTTGAGAAAATAAAGCAAGGCTGTATCTGCTTTGTTCTTTGTTGCATTCGGTGTCTGTGAATGATAAGTATTTGATACATGGATGTTAGGTAAATGCAATTTTTATAGTAAAATAAGAACAAATATAGTCACACAAATACATTGCTTCCAACTGTCTATAATTATAAGACTCAACAGTGTTTCAAGAAACATCCCCTGATAAATACATTCTGTTAAGATAGAACAAGCACATCACAATAACATAGGTTTCTGGTAGTCTCCTTCATAAAATTCTTTATTATTATTATTTTTTAAGATTCTAGTGTCTTTTTCAAAGCCTGAGAATGTCTTTCATGACAAATATTTATCTAGGATGTTTTAAGGAACATTTTTTTTGCAAAAGCCAATTTGCAGAAGGCTGGTTTGTAAAGTTGGTTTCTTTGTCCTCTATAGTATTAGTAGACAAGTTTTTATTTTGTCATTATAAATATTTATGAAAATAAAAATGTCCAATTTTTCTCTATTTGCAGAGAGTGGAGGAGACAGAGTACAGAATGCAGAGAAGTGGAGGAACACTCAGAATTTCTTTTTACCAACTTTATGTTATTGGCATAATATGAAAACAAGTATCACTCAATTGCATGAATTGAATTTGCTCTTGTTCTACTCTCAAGTGCAAGATAATTGCCAGGTGAATCAACATCCCTCCCCAAACCTACACAAATACACACACACATACATGTGCATGCACATGATAACTTTTATTTCCTAGAAGCCTAAGTAAATGTTAGGTTAAAAGAATATTCTGGCTCAGTGCACTCTCTACCTGCTGCCAGGCCTTGCTGTTTTGTTTTTCTCTGCTTCCAGACCCTCTGCTGTGACCATGCTCTGTCAGATCCTCAGTCAGGCCAAGAAGTATTCAAGTTTGATCCCACTCTTTGTATGTATTGGAGCCGGAGATACTGGCACAGTGCTGTATGTCACACACCTGGCATTGTCCACACACCTGGTATCTATGGGGACAAAAAGAATAACCCCAAAACCCCAGAACAAGCTGAGCCCCAATGAGCAATATAAGTTCCACTCAGTGAATGCAGATTACAGCAAACTGAAGAAAGAAGGTCCAGACTTCTAAATGAAAATTTTCACTATAAAGCTGCTTAGAATGAAGGTCTTCCAGAAGCCAGCTGCACAATTTCCCATTCACCCAGGAAATATTTCCCCTTCAAATGCACAAAATCATGTTGATGTATTCTGTTGGGGTTTACACTGATTAACAAATGTTTGAAACTTGAACAACAAAACAAAACAGAAAAGAATATTCTGACCCACAGATTTGGAGAAAATAACTATAAATCACATAAATGATAATGGACATGTATCTGGAATATATAAAAAAGTATTAGACCTTAATAATAAAAAGGAACCCATTTAAAACTGAACAAAATATTTGAGTAGATAATTTTCTAAAAAAGATATTCAAATGGTCAATAACCACATGAATATATGCCCAATAGCATTAGTCATTAGGAAAATGCAAATCAGGACCACAAGGAGATACAACTTCATAGCCAGGAGGATGATAAGAATAAAAAGATGAACAATAGTGTTAACAAGGATATGTAGAAATTGGAGCTCTCAAACATTGCTGGTGGGATTGCAAAATGGTGCAGCCATTTTGTAAAACAATTTAGCAATTCTTCAAAATAAACACAGTCACCAGATGACTCAGCAATTCTACTCCTCCGTATATACTCCAAACAAGTAAAAACATGTTCATTCAAAAAATTGTATACAAATAATCATAACAATATTAATTATAATAGCCAAAAAGGTGAAAACAACCCAAATTTCCATCTACTGATAAACACAATGTTCAATATTTATATAAAATATATTATTTGGCAATAAAAATAAATGAAGTCCCAATGCACGTTACAACATTAATAAATACTGAAAGCATTGTGCTAAATTAAAGAAGCTTTTGGCTTGTAGGCCTGCGCTCAATCCACTGAGCTACATCAACCAAGGCAGAAAACTGTAAGTTTTTATTTAAATTATTTCCAGTGGTTTTCAATCAGGTGGGAGGTTGGCAGGAATTCTTTGTCTTCCTGCCCTGGGAGTGTATCAGAACCTCAGCAATGTGAGTTGGGGGGATAGGACTGTGTGGATTAAGGAAGAAGGAACGTGCATGTAGTTTCAAGAGTTCTCCAGGGGATTCAGATATACCTCCACCCTGGTTTAACCAATGCAGACGTGTACTTTCACTTTATGGTAGCCCTTCACCCAGTTTCCTAATTACCTTTAACCTACTAGCACTGCTCCTCCTCCCTCCTCTCCATTTTTGGAAGGATGACTAATTGTGATAAAATGAGACATTTTATAGTAAAAGGATACAGAATTAATACATTTAAAACATTCCAAAAAGTAATACAATTAGCTAAGTACTTATGTTTTATTAGTAATATCAAGCAAAATTAATAAGTAAATTCAACTAAAAATGATTTTGTGTCAGAGTGTATAGTTTTTACATTGACATTTCACATAATCTGACTTTGCTTAGAAGAGAAATCACTCAGCTGTTAAAATTACTTTTAAAGAGCTGTCAAAATTGGAAAATCTGCTGTCAAAAATATGATGAGAAAAGTTTGAAAATGGTAAAGTATGTTGACTTAGACAAAAAATATTACCTTTATGGAGGAAATCTTGAATATTTATCATTATCTTCAAAAGGGATAATTTCCCCCCTGAAATTGGACATCTTTGTTTTAAAATTTGTATCCTGACACATGTATTTTTACTTTCATATTAACATGAATGAAACCATTTTTGTTCACACCACAATGAAAACATCCCTAAGTGCTAGAAAATGCTAAAATATGAATGTAATTTATGCTCCTTCATATTACTGTTTTTGCTTAATTTTTAATTGAAGAGGAATTTTTAAACCTAATCCTTATTTTTGGCTTCTCTGACTTTTTATATAAGTATTCACTAAGTAAATATATTTAAAGTAGTAGGAGCATGCAAAGCTATACTTTCTGGAAAGTTTGGTGAGATTTTATCTTTTTATGCCATCTATTTAAGTTATAAGAAAATATTATCTCTCATATGTCAGGTGACCAGTTATGTGCCATTGAGAGTTTCAATTCCAAAATCTTTCAATTTTGAGACTTCACACTAATCTTCACTTGAAGATTGATCCTCTGTCCCTATTATATATAATTGAAAAGAGAAATATTTGAGAGGTTTTAAATTGAGGATGGAGAGATTGATAAAACTAAAGCTGCTTTAAACTGATTTTATTTTACAGCAAACAAAGTCTGTTAATAATTTAAACCTTGAAAAGTTCAATTTTTCCAGAATATTCTAGATTACCCAGAATATCCTAAACATTTGATTATTGATTCATAATAAATTAAATAAGGATTTATATACAGATGAATAAAATATGTGAATATGAAATAAAATACAAGATTATCCCTAGTATATTTTTTCAGCTATTATAAATAATATAGAACTTTAAGTTGGTATGCTAACTACTGTATGGTCTACTTATTATTGTTGTGTGATCTGGGATGTTTGTCTTTTTCTCCATACAGTTAAAATACAAGTAATTGTCATTATCACCTACCTGGCCCATTCACAAAAATTTTGTGAGGATTGTATACACATGATTGTAAAGCACTGTGTAAATGTAAATATTTAAACAGTGCTGTTTTAAGTTATGCATTATTTTTAAAATGTAAACACAGAATAAATTATGTATACTAAGTTGAAAGCATAAACAGTGCTTTTTATTTTTGAAGATGAAAAACAGAGTAAAAATATAACTTTAATGGGGTGAATTATTTTAGCTAGAACTATAGAATATAAAAATTTTCCTATGAAAAGAGTAACTCAAAATTGTCCATCTGAGTAAATACCATCATTTTATGTTGTCTACTATATGGTTATGTGAAATAATTTAGGGTTGGCTATTAGATGTCCCAATATCTATATAACCTTATAATTTAACACCTCTAGATTTAATCATCAAAGTTTTAAAAACTCAATTTCACAAGCCACGTAAGATGTGCATCCTAAATCATTCCAACTTAAACAATGAAGGTACTTACAACTATTGCCACAAATAAGATGAGTGCAATTTCATAGACATGAAATGTCAACATAATTTTAGGGGATGTCAGCAATATAGGAAATTAAGTGAGAAGATTGTAGATTTAAAGACATTTAAATCTGAATATATAAATCTTATTGATCTCAGAACCATGTTTTCGTATTGTTGATACACACATGGATAAGACTGATGATGACCAGAGGGGTGGGGGGAGGGGATAATGGTGGAAAGAAGGGGAAGGGACTAGATAAAGGACATGTATGAATGACCCACAGACATGGACAACAGTGTTGGAATTGACTATGGGAGTGATGGGTGGAGGAGGGCAGGGGGGGAAAAATTGGGACAACTGTAATAGAATAATAATAAAAAATGATTTAAAAAAGAAACTATAAATTTAGAACTCTCACTGATAATCCAAAATACAGTATGTGTATATTGGAGAAAAGTTAGTGTTGCTATGGGAACTTTGGCTTTTGTTTACATTATACTGCAAACTATATTATTTGCCTTGGTTCACCTTAATGACTACTTTTATATATTGCTAATTATACTATTTTCCCTCATTCACTATGATGATTAACTCCTTAAGGTTAATATTGCTTATCTTTATTGAGTTAGTTCATATTTTTCTTGAATATAGAAATATGAACTTAAATTTACCTTCATTTGTGAAAATTGCATTATGCATGTCACCATCACCTGTTAATTACATTAAGTAAAAGAAGTTTTCTCTTTTATGAAATTCGCAATATTACATTTATGAAAATGATGAGCTTGACCTTGCTGTCCTTCAGGAACAACATATTCCAAATGGTAGAAAATAAAATTTGTGAACATGTTTTGTTTGGGCCATAAAAATGTATAATTTTATTATTCAAATTTTCCTTCAGCATTTTAAAAGAGGAAATCTAAGCTTTAAAAGAATGTTCACACTTTTAACTTATAGGCAAAGACATGATAAAATATTCATTATGTGTCTGCAGAATGTCTTCTGTATGTAGGACTCCACAGAGACAGTAAGTGAATGCATTATACAATAAATATGCCTAAAGAACAGGCATTGAATTGAATCTTAAGGTCTTAGTTACCTTTCCACTTTTGCAATTAAAACATTTGAAAACTAGAAAAAATGCAGAATGAAAACTATATATTTTAATTCAGATAAACTGGGATTGATATCTTTATTCAGAAATGGTAACTGGGTTATTATGTGCTAGATATGAGCTGGGCATGTGCATTCATGGAAGGATAAGTAAGCTCTCATGAGGTTATAAATATGTAAAGGAGTAATTGCAACATAGTCTTTCAGATTTCATATTTTAAAAAGCTACTGTAAAAACCCTTAGAATTTTGTTTTGCCTTCAAGAGTATATTTATTGTGTTTGAGATGATACATCAGGTGATCTCTGAATGACAAAGGGTAAATGAAATCTTATTACAAATTGACAAAAATAAAAGGTAAAACATTTTCCACAACACCATCAACCATATACTCAGAAAGAGTTATCGATTTATTAAAAAGACCTAATGTCCAGTCATCTATGGATACTTTTAAACTAGAATCTAAAAAATATAAAGATTTTTGTGAAGGGAACTATGATTTATTGTCTTCATGTTATATTTTTTAGTTTTGTTCTATTTAATCATTATCGTAGTATTATTTGCAACATTATTGTGTCATTTACTACATACTTACAAATAACATTTAAAACAATATTTAAAATATATTTTCATTTGAAATAACTTCACACTTATAGAAATAATATGGAAAATTTCTATGTAGTTTTCACACATTTATGAATTTTTACATTTAACATTTGTTGTCACCTCTCTGTCTATACACACACACATAGAGGTCTGTCCAGAAAAAAATTTTCCCTTTATTAATATAATGAGAACAGTTTGGGTGACCTTGCTGTAACCTAGCATCCAAGGAGAGTGGACTGGAATACACATATGTGAACAATGACAACTTCACTGTAGTAGTCAGTGGGTGTCATAGATGCTGTGGA